AAGTTAAGTCATCATAGTGAAGAACAGTGGTAAAGAAATGGTTTCATTATAGTTAGAAACAATTATTCGGAGAATGAACATTCCTTAAAGAGGCCCTGAAACACTTTTTTCAAGTAACTATGAAATTAGTCAACTGGAAGACCTTATTGCCTCACAAATTCAACGCGTGAAAATTTTTAAAATGTGTTCAGTGCGAGTGGAGTTACAAAGATTTGTCGCATGCTAAAATGGCATTCTCCCTTCTCTCGTCCCGACGAAAGCGCTGCAATCTAAGCGGGAAGAGATGGCAGGCGTAGCTTCTATACTCGGCGACGTTTCTTGGAACTGAAAGGACGGCTATGGAGGCGGAGCTTCCGCACATGTAGCACTATGTAAAGTAGTCCGTTTTGGCGCGCGTCTCATAACGCTAAGAAAAATGACGGGGACGTACCATCAGCGATTCACGTAGACGCAGACACCGCCTATAATTAGAGGTGCCCGTAAAAAGGCGGGACTTTTTTGGAAGCTCGAAAACGCGAACTCACAATGAATAAATAAATACGACATATTAATGATGGGAGCTCCGTCCTGCCTAAAATGGCTCTACGTGGAAAAAAAGGGGAAACTTCTTTATTTTACGGCGAAAATACGGGCACTCTTGTGGAACTACATTTCCTGGCGGTAGGATGCCGGCGATTTAGCTCTGTAGCTTTCGTTCTAATGCCAAGAAAAGTTGTCACCAAGCATAGTACACTGTAGCAGAAGCAAGGAAAGACGTCACGCGCGCCTCGTGCCCTTCAGCACTTTTCCCTTTTAAATGTTAAGCATTTCTTAGCGAACTTCAGTGACATTGAGCATATATGTCAATCCATCAATCAATCAATCAATTAATCAATCCATCTATCAATCCATCGATCAATCTAGCTGCCTACGAGTTTCAGCTATCATGGCCGTTTTGATCATGGTACCGACACCAAACTTAATTGGCATACCATGACTGTATGGAAAATATTTTACTAGTAAAAACATAAAAATCATGATTGTATGTCATGAATGTCATGATTTATATTTAATGGTCCTGCAGCTCTTGCAGTGGTTTCGTTCACATGGCATGTGGCAAAACTGCTATGGTATGACATGATTGCATGGCGAACACATGCGATAGACCCCAACATGAAAATCATGACATTTGTGTCATGTAACATCAGAACTACCTGCCACAATCACAATGCGCTCGCAGCCCTTTCGCTAGCATCAAATATACCAAATTTGGTATAACGGTACGTGAATTGATGACGAAAAAATTGACTGGTGCAAACATGACAATCATGAGAATCCGTGTAATGTAACAACATGACTACATGCCACGCTTATCATGCGCTGGTGGCCGTTTCGCTAGCTTCACATGTACCAAACTAGGTATTACGCGACGCTAACAGACGACATAGGTAAATGGCACATCCAACGTGAGAATCACGCCATACGTGTCATCTAACAAAATGACTTTACGCGCCACACTCATGAAGCGATCGCGGCCATTTCGCTAGCTTCACACACACCAAATTTGGTATTACGTGACGTGACGTCAATATAGGATGAAGGTATGTGACTTGTGCAAACATGATAATCATGAGATGTGTGTCATGTGAGAGCAAGACTACATGCCACAGTCAAGACGCCAATACATTTCGACATGACACGATGCGCATGCTCGCTGGTGTTCATTTCGTCGCGTCACGCAGGCGTTGCCATGCCAGGTGCCGGTCTTGCTATATACTCGATGGTGCACCCCACGCCACGTTGGTTTGACGCATGCGCGTTTCAGCACGTCCGGCATCCCTCAGTCATGAAATGAGGGACACGCAGTGTTGTCTGGGTAACGCATCGGCAGGAAATGCAGCATCTCGCATTTCGCACTGGTTGCCGTAGGGCCGCGCCGACGGACGCTGGTCGCGGTGGTCAAGGCAGGCGTCAAACTATAGAGTGCTCGCTTTTGCTAACGTTGCGTCGCTGTGCCCAGCGTGCGTGCGTGTCAACGCTACATTGGAGTATATTGGGTCCTTGATGATGCGCTCACTGCCTTTTTGCGAGCTCCACCTATACCAAATTTGGTGTTACTTGACGCCAATGGATGACGAAATATATGACTGGCGCAAACATGGTAGTACCAGCACGCTTGTCGTGTAAGAACATGACAACATAATACGCTCATAGCGTGCTCATGGGCGTTTCGCTAGCTCCACATATAGTGAATTTGGTATCTTATGACGTGTATAGATGAAGGTAAACGACACATCCAAACATGATAATCATGACGCGGAAACGATGTACCACATCATTTACCTCCACCTTGTAACATTGTGCTGGTATCAACCTTTCTCATTCTTGCTTCGCATATGATCGATTCCCTACTGTGTGGCAGATCTGCCAATTTGTTTGATTTCTTTAATGTGCGGCTTTCTCAGTGTGATCGTGCATGCGCGCTTGGATAAGTCGTGACATCCCGCGGCAATCTCCCTAACGACTGAGCGCGCCATGTTCAAATCAGCCAATGGTTCGAGAGATGAGCTTTCTACGAGTGATTTTTGAGCATCTTCCGTGATTTATCTAGAGAAAAGAAAGCAATTTTTAACTGATTTTGATAAATATTTGTGAATATAAGGTGGCGTGCTGTGCTATATTATTTGACTCGCGTGTGGTCGAGAGCCTCTGCTATCGATCGGCAGCCTTTTCTAACCATGCTCACAAAATGTCGCAGGGCCCCTTTCACCGAAACGCATCACAAAATTTCTTGATCGCTCTTTTTGTCTGACACGCCAAGCGATAGATGGGAACAAGTTTTGCAGAGATATGCTCTGAAAATGCTTCCACGCATGCTGCTTGAAGGCCTTGTTCCCGTCAATAACATCCGAACAATGACCCACCAATAAAAATTTGGCAGATACTGCGTACCTGGGAAAGGGCGTTATGTGAAGCATGCGGGGAGAAGGTGACCGTGTTAGAATTTTTTTCTAAAACGATAGTCTTTCTTGGGAACCTGCGGCGCAAAAATGTGTCTCTCTCTGTCTGTCTGTCTGTCTGTCTGTCTCTCCCTCTCCCTCTGTCTGTCTCTCTCTCTCTCTCCGTCTGTCTGTCTGTCTGTCTCTCTCTCTCTCTCTGTCTGTATGTCTCTCTCTTTCTCTGTCTCTCTCTCTGTCTGTGTCTGTCTGTCTGCCTCAAACTCTGTGTCTCTCTCTGTCTCTAACCCTGTCTGTCTCTAACCCTGTCTGTCTCTCTCTCTTTCTCTGTGTCTCTCTCTCTGTATGTCTGTCTCTCTGTATGTCTGTGTCTGTGTGTCTGTCTGTCTGTGTCTGTCTGTCTCTCTCTCTCTCTCTCTGTCTGTCTGTCTCTCTCTCTCTGCCTGTGTCTGTCTGTCTGTCTCTAACTCTCTCTGTCTCTAACCCTGTCTGTCTCTAACCCTGTCTGTCTCTAACCCTGTCTGTCTCTAACCCTGTCTGTCTCTAACCCTGTCTGTCCATCTCTCTTTCTCTGTGTCTCTCTCTCTGTATGTCTGTCTCTCTCTGTATGTCTGTGCCTGTGTCTGTCTGTCTGTGTCTGTCTGTCTGTCTGTGTCTGTCTGTCTGTGTCTGTCTGTCTGTCTGTGTCTGTCTGTGTCTGTCTGTGTCTGTCTGTGTCTGTCTGTCTGTCTGTGTCTGTCTGTCTGTGTCTGTCTGTCTGTGTCTGTCTGTCTGTGTCTGTCTGTCTGTGTCTGTCTGTCTGTCTGTCTGTCTGTCTGTCTGCCTGTCTGTCTGTCTGTCTCTCTGTCTGTCTGTCTGTCTGTCTGTGTCTGTATATTACAGATTTATGACAGACAGATTCTATGTTGCAGGACATAGTCATCCTAGGAAATGTGCATGTTTACAATTGTAAATAGTAACAGAGTTATCAAGTTGTAGCACATATTGAGTTTGCTTTATTAGCTTATGAGGCAATAAAAGTTGTTTATTTACCACAGCGTCCGCCATGTTTGAGTTGTGCAACATTACGAGTGCATTTAATCAAGTCAAAACAAACGTACTGAATACAGCATCCACTGTTGGGTGAAACTGTTGTGAATCAGCGTCCACGAAGTTAAGAAGGCACTTGTTTTGCTCCCGCACACATACACGCTAGATCAACACAGAGCTCTCAGAACCACAGATGCCGCGGGAGAAATTTGACGCACTAATTCACCATCATGTCAAGTTACCACGCACTTTTCAACTCATGTGGCGAAAACCAAACTACCTGCTGCAGTCGCTAGGGTGAGAATGCATTGTCTTAGAACTTTCAAAAAGGCGTAGGACCTTACAGAAGGCTGAGGTCAACGCAGTGGTGCCGTGGTGTCTGACTGACATGTAAGTGCCAATAGGCCTGAAGTGGTCAGACTTTTCTGTCATTAATAAATTATTTGTTCTGATGAAGAAGACTATGTGGATTGATCCGCCTTATTTATGTTGTCCATAAAACTTGGATTTCTTTCTCTCTCTCTTTTCAGTCGCACACTTGTGGTGCTTCACGCTTGTCGATCTCTGAGAATCATTCAAAATAGCCGTGTAGCGGCCAAACGTCGCCTAGTTGCGGTAGATTTATGTCAAACAATTCTTATGCAAATGGGGACCGGAACAGCATTTTTTTAGTTTTCTGACTAACGAATCTGTCCAGCACCAATTTTAAGAGTAGTTATCCGTATTACTGTAGTAATGTTCCTAGTATATATCTAATAAGTTCATATACCATCAGTCCCTATTATACATTTATTTGTTATAGTAGCTGTTTCACCCACCCATAGTAATGGTAGTGGCTTACCGTATATTTACGTGGTCAAAAAGATCATTAGGGCAACCACACATGGTTATTCACGGTGTGATGGCATAACAGCGATTAGCTTCGCGTCAAATGCTTCTTGATAAGGCGCGAAAGAACATCAACAGACAGTAATATCAAACAGTTTCAGATTATTTAAAGGAAATAATATGCTGTCCAAGAAGGGGGAAGCTCACCCGCTTGGGATTGTCCATTGTAGTCAACGATGGGGTAGTGATTTTCAAGGCAGGCCTTCAGGAATTTGGCGCTCAATTTAGTTCTCTCATTCGGATACATGACAGGCACTTCCCCGGCAGTGCCACGATATAAAGCTGTATTTGGAAAGAAGCATAAGATATATTTTTACATTCTGAAATAAAGTTGTAAATATGATAACCAATATATGGCGATATTACATATCGTGACCTAATACGTACGGCTAAATTTTTTGTGTTAGGTACGTCAAGTGTGAATTCCCGGGGACAGACCCAGATCAAAGGGCCTGCAATGGAAGCGTAGGTTCAGTGGCAATGTTGTGTCATTCATAATTGTCAAAATAATTCTCATTAGAATCAGTGCCGTCTACAAATGTAACTCTGTGAACCATAATTGCAGATGTCGGGCTCTTCTGGCTCCCACATCTTCCTATTTCATGCGGACAATAGTTAACAATGCCAGATTGAACGTTACTATATTACTGAATCGTTCTAACAGAGGATGCTTCTCAAAAACAGCACAAGAAATACTCATTCGTATATTCCCTGGAAAATGGTGAGAGATGAATGCTCCCAGACAAGCGATTAACACCCAGGCATTGTTGCGTTCACTCGTTGATTTCAATAAACTCCGTGACGCACATGAAAGATTCATGAAGGCGCCAACACTGCGTCAGTCTCTTCAGCCTGCAGTGTTTTGAGATCCGCGATGGAATCGACCCTGTGATTATCTTAGGAGAATGTGTGGCATTGACCTTAGTGTAGGCAGTGACAGACATAATGAACGCTCATGCTTTCCCCTGAAGAGTTAAATCGCTTATTTTCATGGGGATCTTTCCTCATCACACTTATCAAATGAGTTGATTCTTTGGTTCTTAAGGCACAGAAGTCCAATTTCACATTGCTGCTTTAGCTGTTATGGATATAACTGTAGATATTTGTTGTTACAGGCGAAATGCATAACTGTAGCTTACTGAATGTATTTTGCAGACAAAAGTCTTGCTTCCTTGTTTCGATAACCACATGCACCGAATCACGTCGTCCCCTATACTGCAGAGCGGCGCCCTGAATGAATGCGATAACGGGATTCACAGCATTGTCGTGAGACTCCCTCATCTTCTAGCCATGCTCATGTCATGAAATGAATTCTGCAGTCCTGCGGTTATTCTTAGAATGAGACTCACATAAGCGTTGCTTTTCGGCGTAGCATGGCAAGTCGTATTAAGTATCACTGCTTCATTTGGTTCTCACATCATCATCATAAGCCTGACTACGCCCACTGCAAGGCAAAGGCCACTGCCATGATCCACCAACCAATCCGGTGTTGTGCTTTCTGCTGCCATGTTATACCTGTGAACTATTTAATCTCATCGGCCCACCTAACTTTTGTCTCCCCTTCATGCGTTTCCCTCCTTTGGGAATCCAGCAAGTTACCCTTCATGACCAGCGGTTATACTACGTACGCACTACGTGCCCAACCCATGTCCAATTCTTCTTGATTTCAACTAATATCCTTAACTACGGTTTGACTCCCGACCAACTCCGCTTTTCTTGTCTCTTAAAGTTACATCTATCATTGTACTTCGTATCACTCGCTGCGTTGTCCTCAAATTAGGCTGAACCGTCTTTGAATGCTTCCAGATTTCAGCTTCGTAGGGAAGTACCGGCAAGATGCAGCTGTTATATACCATCTTCTCAAGAGTTAGTGGTATAATATAAAGAACATTCAGGGCTCACTTTCCATATTGAAATAAAGGCTTATCGCGGTAAATCTAGTGAATAGGCAAGCCATCTTTTTCTCGTCTGTTCTGTATTTTACGGCTGTAACATGCAAGAAGGGGGCATTATAGAAGCGGTGGCCGCTAGCCTGCCGCTGACAGAAAGAAGAGGCGAATGGCGATCGCGGGTGTGCTTGGGAGGTACGCGGCAGCCGCTGGCAGCGGGCAGTTGTGGTCGAAGCTTACAAAAATACACAAGGTTCTTGGTCTGGCTCCGCATATTCCCTGTGAGGTTCTGGGCTGAGCAGCCTAGTAACGCCCATATTGGCGCCCAACAGAAAAACTCCGCCCCTGGGCCGCGGACATCTAGGCAGTCTTCGACCATGGCCCTGCCGACGGCACTGGCCATGCCCACCTCTTCTGTCCAAGGAGCGACGGAATCAGTCATCGATTTTATTGACGACCTTTTTGTATACTTGGCAGTTAATGGCTTCTTGGAGTCTGACGTGCTCCAGCGGGTCCTAGCAGTTGCCCTGGATGGTGCCGCAGATTGATGGCGACATATTCATCATACCTTCCAGTCCTGGAACCAGTTTGTCGCGGCATTCAGGGAAGAACTTCTGCCGATTACCTACGACAGCCGTATTCGGCGTGAGGTCGACGCCCGAACGCAACAACCACTAGAGCGTCTGCCAGATTATGCTCAGGTCATGCAAAAGCTTTTCCGTCGGGCAGACTCTACTGCTCCTGAGGACGTTAGGGTCTTGCAGGTTATTCGGTGATGCCACCCTCATTTCATGGTACACCTTTTGGGCCGCTTCTTTCTTTCCCTCAAGAAGCTTGCTTGCTTTGCTCAGCAAATTGCCGAGCCGTCTACTGCGGCCGTATCCATCGTCGCAGGGGAGGGATGTCAGCTCCATGAAGGCAAGGCAGAAGTCCATTGGTGTCTACAGGGTTCATGCAATGCTGCTGACGTTAGAGCGGGCGCTGACGCGACGCGATACAGCCCTGCGGAGCGAGCGGGGATACCGATCTTGAATGGGCTCACGAAGTCCCGGTATGAAGCAGCAGCATACATGACGCGAAGGAAGACGACGAGGAATAAGAGGAAAAAACAGAGTAGTGGTTTGCAGGTACATGACAATAACACCAGATGAATGGAAGTCTGGCACAAAGGTGGCCCACTCTCGTGACCTTGAGAGGGACAAGGGTACCCTTTAAGCCTAATTGGATCGTTTGAAGAAGGACGCACTGTGGCGTACAACCCACATGAGCCAGTTGGAACGCAAGTGTGGAAGCTTGGCTGATGTACGCGATGGTCTCCAGCACGAACACGACGTGTACAAGCCCAAGAAAACGAACATGATTGACGAGAAGAATTTTCACACTTCGGAACTAAAGGAAAAGGTCCGCACACTGGAGAAAAAGTTAGCTGAAGACTCGCCAAATCGCAGTCACATGAACAGGCTGTTTGTGGATTCTCAGAAGCGTCTCAGGAATCGGCAGCCACAGTGCGCCAAGTTCGAAGAGTAGTTGCTCGAGGGGGACACTGAACTAGCAAGCATGAGGCGCAACCGTGAAGAAAAGATTCAGTGACAGCGTGCACTCCAAGACTTACAGCTGCACGAGCCCTGAATGCATGCAGCTAATCTCCGTGCGAGCTAGCCCAGGCTAAGCAGGACTACGATCGGGAGGCTTGTCAAGCACGCGTGCAAAATTTGGAACTTAGCAAGAAGAAAGCAAGGTGTAAGGAAAACCAGGAGCTAATCCAAGAAATCGAGGCTGGCCAGTACACTGCTAGCCAAGGCCTCCGAACTTGAGAGGCAGTTCAGTCTTTCGTCACACTCTGAGACTATCATGAAGCACAGTCTCACGCAAAACTAAGCTAAACCAGAGACCATGCATGCCGAGTTTGCAAAGCTGAAGATGCTCTTGGCAGATATTAGGAGCGTACGACCAATGGAGGAGCTTGAGGCAAGGAAGCATCAAGTGGAAAAACAGCAATTCAGGCTGAGAGAAGAGGTGACGCAGCTGCAGGAATTCACGGAGAGGGCGAGAGGAAAGGTGCAGCAGTTGGAGGAAGCGGTGGACACTACAATCAACTGCATTCGCGTGTCTGGCATTGCGCGCAACGTAGCTGTGCTTGAGTACCAAAGCTGCGTCGAGAGAGAATGCGAAAAGTGGTCAGGTATCCACATCAGCGAGGACGAAGAAGTGAGCACCGGTGGTTTTTGCAGTCCGAGCTTCGGAAAGGATGTCATGACCCCATGGCTGCCGAGGCCACCAGCGTTCGAGGACTACCAACCACACGGAGGAATGGCCGCCACCGGTGCGCGAGTGGTCCTTACAGACAACGAAACTGACACACGATGATGCCTTACGACTCATCGGGACTGGCGCTGCACCAGAAGCATCGGCGTTCTGTCATGCACTCGTCGACGACGGTGCTCGTCAACTTGAGCAAGTCCGGTGTGCCTCCGTCTTCAGGCGGTGGAGGAGTTGGCCCCTGTGCGCGAATTCACTGTGCCGGCCTGTGGTCATGTGTGCCACTTTCGGTCTGTCGTGGCCAGGGCTAGCGGCTACCGCATCACGTCCCCCTTTCCACATACGCCGAAAGGGAGGAGGCAGTATCAGTGAGACTGCTGATGACAGAACAAAGCGGAAAATGACGATCGCCGAAGCACTTGAGGGGCACGCGGCAGCCGCTGGCAGCGGGCAGTTGCGGCCGAGGCTTAGAGGAATAAACAAGGTGCCTGGTCTGGCTCGGCGTCTTCCCTGCGGGATTCTGGGCCGAGCAGCCACGAAACCCTTACAGTATGTACCAATAGCTCGCCAACTCGCCACTTTAATCAAGTTCTCTCTGTGCTCATCACACGATGATGGCCGCCGTGTTACCAACTTTCGATGCCACAATTAGCACGCCTTTGTTCAAGAACGCTAAAGAGCACAGGCCTAAAATACGTAGACACAGAAGATAGACGGTATAATGTTTCTTTTCGTGCTGCTCTTATAAGGGTTCATGAATGAAAAACGGCACAAAAATAAAGTACATTGCTGTCATGTCGACCGAAGTACATGGCCACTACGCCTTTCATAGCTACTACGTCGGCTTGCTCCCAGGTTATCGGTATGAAGTAATAGGAATGCCTGTCTACGTGTCGATAAATGAAAGCGATTAGGTAAACTGAGAGCGCTACCATATGACGCATGCAACATGTTGCTTAACCAAGAATACAACATGAAACATACATACAGAATAAATATTTACAGGAGCGCAATATGTGTATGAAGAGTGCGCGCACAGATGGTTAGCAAGAACGCATGTCCATGTTTACATGACTAGACATTGTATTTTCTATATCTCCTTTTGTGTGAAGCATGTCATGGTAAGAGTAAATTTCTCGGAAATTGTTATTCAATCGATAGAGAATGAAAACAGCCTACTCAAAAAAAAATCTTAGTGCACATTACAACCAGAACACGTCGCGAGCATAAAAAATGTTATCTATTTAGAAACACAAGCCTTCACTCTCACAATACTAATTATATTGCAGAAATGTCCGGAAACACTTCAGTGGCATTTCTAGTCTTATTTATTAGGTTTGTAGGCGTTTCATATGTGAAATGCATGCGAAATAATTACAACACACCAACCTGCAAGAAAGACTAAGAAAGCAGCAATGGAGTCTTGCCTCTACGAGGTCCTCAACCAACAACATGTGTGTGTGTGTCACGCTCATAGAAAGACCACATATGGTTTGTGACCTTCAGACTTCGTGCGTTTCTCCAAGTTTTCACGCCCTGTCTTGTAGAATAAAGACGCACCAACTACCGTAATTCTCAGAATTTTAAGTAACAAAGACTTGTGGAGGTACTTACATATATGTCATACTAAGTAACCCACTTGTTGAAAATTTTGAGGGAGCGCCATTGCACATGGCTATTGGAAACTTCAGCGCTCCAATTCATCAAAGCTGTAACCATACGAATCTCACACGACAATGCCCTAACTCATGCATCAATTCAGCATAATACGCACTCACGTCCATCATGGTCTGGAACCATCGTTCTTTCAATGCTCTTGAAGTGCGGCAACACGTCATTGTAAGCCCAACCTTCTGCTCCGTACTCGTTTCTCCAAATGTCATAGTCGCGCCGGTTGCCACGAACGTACAGCATGAAGTTTATGGCGCTCGATCCTCCTAAGCCCTTTCCCCGTGCCCATGGGCATTTCTGGAAAGTAAAAGGAAATATATTGCAAAGGAGCGGTAAAGAAAGCGTTGTATGCAGCTTTTGAGCAGGGCGGATAGTTGCAGTATCTAGCGACAATGATTGATAAGCGAGGTTTAATGTCCCACAACCACATTATGATTATGAGAGATGCCGTAGTGAAGGGCTCCCGAAATTTCGGTCACCTGGGGTTTTTGAACGTGCACCCAAATCTGAGCACATGGGCCTACAACATTTCCGCCTGTACCGGAAATGCAGCCACCACTATCAAGTGACAGTGAATAGGCTAGTAGCCAAGAATAGGTTAGTAGCCAGAATAGGTTAGTAGCCAGAATAGGTTAGTAGCCAGAATAGGTTAGTAGCCAGAATAGGTTAGTAGCCAAGGAATAAATCAATTATTGCATGCGATAGATTGTTATCGGGGAGCTGTCAAGACTGGTGCTAACTTGAGATGTTTATTGAAATGTGTGGCGATGTACAGTTTTCTGCAGCTCTGCCCTTGCTGTTTATTATGCTTACAGAATTGACATGTTTCCAAAAGTGGTCCAGTATACTACCATCTTTTTACAGCTAAAATATCGTTGGGCACACGAGCCTTCGTTCACAAGCAACTCGAAAGCTGAACCATTCTTATATTGTTCACATAAACCTCTAATGTAACCGGGTACGGAAAATCAAAGGAAAGATGGCTAGAGAGGCAATACCTGTTTGAGCAATTGCAAGATCACTCACTCATGATCTACCAGTGTGCATTAAGACTGCCACTCGTATGGTTGTTTCGTAAGCGTGCCAAAACGTTATCCTGAAGAAAGTATATTCAGTTGCCTTTAAAAAACCCAGAGTACCAATTTAGCAGACAAGATATGCAGAAGAGTTTAAATGTTTTATGGCAGTGTGCTGACAGAATGCACGTTTTACAAAGCGTGTGCAACACGATAGGTTCGACTCTGCAAAGGAGCCGCGTATAAATCATCTGGTAGTACACTCAGCGACATGCCGACGAATAATTTGCACTGCAAAGATTTCCTAATCTCAGCTGAATGGGATACAGTTCTACCACTAGGAAAATGGACTTGAGAAGTTGATATTTGAACACATATAGACTTGTGACCTAGCAGCTACTTATGCTGCTAATTACTGTCATTTACCACTATGTGAGTGACAGACGAGCTACTTACCTGACATGTCCCATTAATAGAGCCGCCTCCTCCAAATGTACCACTGAACACTGAGCTTGCAATTCAATGACGGGATTATATTTGCCAAGAGGAAATGAAGTGAAGAGTTACAGCAGTTAACAAGGTAAAGTATTCGGTTTACTACTCAACAATGGGAAACTAGAAGAGAGGCACTAAAGCCGCAGAGGTAAGAAAGGACAGAACACAAACTGACACAAACGATGCTGCTATAGGAGAAGGTAACACGCGTCGGCCATGAAACAGCTTAGGCAGAGCTGTCTGTTTCGATGACGTGATCGTGAAAGCCTTCCACGACGTCATCTTAAGTCTCTGTGATGATGTGGATTGTGTGACCCGTGATGGGGTGAAAAGGGAACGGCAGTTCTGTTCAAGGAGTTTGAGCGCGACACGGTTAGAACAGCAGCTGCTGGTCGACGGTTCCTGTCGTGACAATGCTTAACCTGGCGTCCACCAGCCATGTGGACCTGGTGAGCCTGATTCCCGCTCTACATCTGGTGCCGACTCATGGACCGGCGACCTATCTGTACCTTGCCTGAGGTCCTGGGGCCCGAGAGGTGCCACGAGGTGCCCGCAGCTCATATTGGTGACGGAGAGTCAAAGGCCAACTCCGGCGATTTTTTAAGGTGAATTCATCTCAGTGTAATTCGCGTTGTACGTTATTTTGCACATTACAGTAGTTTTGTCAAACTACAGGATTGAGAGATGCTTTGATTGTTTACAAATGAATTTTAAAGATTGCCTGAAACGGCTAACCTGGCTTGCCAGAAATTTTGGCAATAATGTCTGTGTGTCGTCCCTTTTTGCATGTTAACGGCAGTGACGCAGCCGATGGAATCACTAACAGTGGCCGCTGAAGCATTTACTGTGCTGGCTGCAAGGCGATGGTGGCGTTCTTTCCTCTGTAGTGTTTGACAGGCATTTCGGGCGAAGCTTCTTATAGCGGCACCCGTTCGTCCCTCGTGGCAGTAGTAGTAGTGTGCAACAAATATTACATTTTGACATCCAAGTTGCTGCCGGTGAGGAATTTCTTCTGTGCGTTGTTGAACAATAAAATATAGTGCTCAATATACATGCCAATGGCTGCTAAGGGGGATTGAGAGACAGGAGAATTCGGCTTTTAGTTAACGCTCATGCTGCGAATTTTTTATTGTTCAACAACGCACAGAAAACATGAAAGGGTCGCTACGTATTACTAGTTGGGCGTAACCTCCTAAATTTTAGTAGGGTTTAGTGAGCGTTGGGCCGCAGTGTTATCATTACAGAAAATTAGTATATACCATGAACACGAGGTAGTTAAAGGCGGGAAGTAGACACAAAGCGCAAGCCGTAATAAAGTGCGCGTGTGCCTCCTCTCGCTCAGTCCTAGGAATTTCCGCTGAATGGTGGGGCTTCTATATGAGGAATATATTATGAGAAGGTGCGAGACGGTGGTACTTGAAATGTTGAATGGGTGGACAAACGGACACGCAGACAGATGCATGGACGGACGCACAGATGGCTGCAGGGACGGATGGATGCATAGACAGACGCAGGAGCGGATGCATGGACGAAAGCAGGGACGGAAGCACAGATGAATGTGCGGACGCACAGACGCACACACGGACGGTTGGATGAACGCACGGGCGGCCACAAAGACGCATGCATGGATGTACGGAAGCAAGAACGAATGGACGGACGTATGTTTCACCCTACTATCTATCATTCACTCCGTAAATATGCTGCCATTTTTTTGTTCTCTGTGATTGACTGATATGTAGGGTTTAACGTCCCAAAACAACTATATGATTATAAAAGACGCCGTAGTGAAGGGCTGCGGAAATTCAGACCACCTGAGGTTCTTTAACGTGCACCCAAATCTGAGCACACGGGCCTACAACATTTCCGCCTCCATCGGAAATGCTGCCGCCGCAGCCGGGATTCGAACCCGCGCCCTGCGGGTCAGCAGCCGAGTACCTTAGCCACTAGACCACCGCGGCGGGGCTTTGTTCTCTGTGAGTAAGTGTGCAATGGGCGGTGATTGGTGCTGCTGTGTGGCATCCACAAACCACCCACACAAAACGCAGAGTGTTTGCTATCAGGGCTTTCCATGTAAGAGTGCCCTCTGTGAGAAGTAGATCAGTGGGATCAGGTGGTACAACAGGTTACCGAGCAAAACGGTACGCGTGATTTCTGATCATTTCGCGCCGGAGACATAAGGATGTTTTGCCAGAGCCAGGCAGCTAGCCAGCTAGTCAGTCAGAATTAAAGCGTGCGGCCGTCCATGCGTCTGTCTGACAGGGACGTCGGTGACAGACTAATGGATGAACGCTTCGCCCCACTCATCATTCACTCCCAGAATATAATATAGATTTCTTATTATAACAACGCTATGTGCCCTCTTCGATAGTCAACTGTACAAAAACCACGAATGCTATCTAGTGATAATATTTTGAAGGGGATATGTTAACGCAAGCTTGCAAGATTGCGGGCGCTTGGCGGGTTTGTCTCCGGCCGTCCTAATCACATGGTGTCCGTGCGTCCGTCCATCCGTCCGTATGTCTGTCTGTCTGTGAACACTCTAAGTGCCACTATCTCGCATCTTTTCATCATATATATTTATCATATACAAGTACCGCCATTTATCGGACATTCCAAGGACTAGACGAGAGGTGGCTACCTACTACTACTGCATACAACGCGGAAGCACGGCTCATGGCATAAGGAGCTTCGCCTATAAAACGGTGAGGTAACAGAATCACTTGCGACAGAGTCGCCACTGTCGGCAGCTCTGACACACGGTCAGTATCCTACCATAGCCTCCTCTATAACTTTGTGCCCGAGCGGTCGGTCCCTCAGCGCCGTCCCCCGAGCTATTATGGGATGCGAGCGCTCCTGGCGGAGCGCCGAGGCGCAAAACGAGAGAATGGATGGCAGCTATGGAGAAAAAACCGGCTTTGAGTAACTACCGAAAGGGCAAAAATGAAATAAGGAGGGAGGCATTTTACGATAATTCAAGGGGAAGCGCTTACTGTTTGAAGCGAGATCGGGTTGCCTTAGAACGCGTAGTTATAAAGCAAGATTCAGTAAAGAAGAAGAACAATGCACATGCTGCGGGAAAGATAAGGAAACGGCGGAGCATGTTCTGATTGAATGTGGAGATATCCACCCAGGTGTACTCCTGTATCCGTCAACTGAGCTCGTAATGGTTCTAAATTCTCTAAAGAATTACGCGGAAGTTTTCCTCGCAAGAGCGAGAAAGATGAATCAGCCACTGAAGGCTGCCGTTGACAACGCCGCGCAAATACTACAGAAACGTGACAAACTCAAGTGCTCGACCCCGGGACATCATAAAAAACTTTTGGAGGTTGTGCTCGTGAAGTTTCTCCGCCCACTTTTTCTGAACTTCGCGACGAGTGTGACTGACAAACACGACTTGGCAAAAGATTTTCATGTCAAACCATTGTCTCGAAAAGTGCTCAAGCTTTGAGCGCGAAATCAAATAACAAAGCTCACATTGCATTCTGCATACAGTGCTTGTGTTAAAAATTTGGTGTGTGCGCACTTCTTAACGTATACGCATAATCCAATGCAATGTAGACGGTTTCTAGACCGTCATAAACGCAAGCGTGCATAGGCCGCGTCGTCTGCTGTTATTATGGGATCGGTGCGGCATCTGGCGGCGAGCGCCAAAACTATAAGGGACGGATGGCGCGTATGTAGTTAGCGCTAATGCGCGGGCACAAAAAAATATAGGAGGCTATGATCCTACATATTAGTTGAGGCTCGATGCGTTCACCTGTGCTCCGAGCTAAACTCCGAGCGTCT